CTGAATGAATGGATGGATGATGAATCGATTTAGCCGAAACACGTGCTCATGCTTGTGCCCGTACTCTCATGGACCAATCTCTTATGCTCATTTGTCTAATCGATCTCTTGTCTTGTGTTCAAGAGAACGCCAGATTCAATTTCTTTCATGCCTTTTATCAGTAGCAAACCTAAGCCACGGATAATAGTCTTACAGAAGCTTTCAGGAAGTCATTATCTGCATTCACACACACACACACACACACACACACACACACATCACAGATCTGTGAGGAGGGACGATCTGGCATTAGTTTAACATTCATTCCTGAAGTGCTCATTTTCCTTTGTGTATAAACACAGATTAAATGTTTGGCCGGTTGAATGTAAGGTTATATTTGAAGAAGTCACAGCTTTTCCATCATGACATAGTAGCTGCTGTATGTGGGTGAGCAGAAAGCAGGACAGTGGTGTCAGTTGATGGAGAGAAGGCACTTTACAGCACCCCGACACGATTTCCCTTTGAGGTTAATGAAAAAGAAGACGTGAAGATCAAAAACAAGAGTCTGTTGTATGCTTGTTTCATGTTTTTTTCTTTTTAACAAACTTCTGCTGAACAGTTAATACTTTTCAACGTGCGAGTACAAAAAAATTCTTCTTGTGAGACTAGTTGTCAGTAAGGGCTATATATTCAATATATGTTTAATATATGCACAGGCAAAGTAGGCTAATCAAATGAGTCTGCATGGTGTCCCACACAATTGATGAAATCAGGCTGGGTCACAAAGAGCATTTCTGATTCTGATAAAAAAAGGAGAAGAAGATGAGACAGGCAGCTCCTTTAAACTTTTTTCTTTTCTTTTTTTTTGTTGAGGCTGGAACAGAGACGGTGTGTTTCTCACGACACCTCGTTCACTGATAATAGGAACATTCTGTGCATGCTTTTCCAAAACACCTTTAATGACTAATAGAAAATGATTCACTTTTCAGGAGCTGAGGGTTTTCTCCTTCTAATTGAGCTTTTTAGCGTTATGTTAGACAATTCAAAAGGAGAACATGACTGCTCGAAAATGCCATGAAGTGCATTGTAACATTTCCAGCATGGCATTCATCGCTCCCTGTGGTGACACGCAAACACTATTTAGTGCAATTTTCCTTTGCAATGTGAAATGTGTAATTTTACACACTTAAGACTTACCACTCCCAAAAATGATTCATTCTCTATAGTTCATATTAAGACATCTTGAAATGCATGCTTATACATCACGTTATTACTATTGTGTACTGTTTAAGCAGGCCGCTCCACTGCAGCAGAAACCAACCAATGCACAGATTCTGTACTGGTTTTATAACACTTGTTTAACAGACAGTGTATAAATGACAAAGCTACCTTTGTGTCAGATCAGCATTGGTTATGTAAAAGCATCAGATGTGTTTTCACACATTATTTTATGTATTCTCAGTAGAGTTGTGGTTGCATCAGCTCCACAGTTCTGTCAGGAGAACAGTATGTTCAGCAGCAGGAATGGTGCGAGGAGTGGCTGACATTTGTGAAAACACAACGAGCTTGGAGATAATTTCAAAACCACAAACTGTAAATTTAGAATACGAGATTAGGTTTTCTGAACAAGACACTAAATATAACAAGATCTGCATCTAATCTCCTCGTTTATATGGCTATTGTGCTTACAATCTAGTTATTTGCATGACAACCTTCTGATTAATAATAATGAAGGCATTTAAAGCTCATGCATAAGAGATTAGCTCCTTAACTGGGTCAGTCTCCTTTTCATTGGAAGAAATGGATGCCTGAGCCACTAAAACACCCGGTTAATATTTCTCTGTAAGGCCACTGAAACGCAAACAGAGCTGATGATCCTGCATGCAGATCCAATCATTAAATGTCTTTGTACTCAAACTCCAGGAAGGAGGAAAACATCAGAAAACACACAAATCTGTCATGTAATGTCTCGATTCATTTATGTTTGTTTGAAACAAGATGACACAAGGCAAAGAAAGTCACTAAACTGAGGGCTTTTCTCCCTCATCTTCTATGAAATCCTTGTCAGAAAGTCTTCAACAGGGTATAAACAAGCCAAGATTACGCTATCACACACACATCAGCTAAAAAAGTACTGCCATAGTCTGTCATACAGTTATTTTAAAGGAAACTGCCCATAGTATGCACTGACTGTGAGCTCTTTTGGTCCCTCTTAATAAATACATTATATATATACTGTATGTATACATGTATATATGTTTGCACACACACACACACACACAGGTTTGTTTTTGTGAAAAGTGGGGACATCCCATAGGCGTAATGGTTTTTATACTGTACAGACCGTATATTCTATTGCCCTACACCAACCCTACCCCTAAACCTACCCCTCACAGGAAACTTTGTGCTATTTCAGATTTTCAATACACTCCATTCTGTGTGATTTATAAGCATTTTGAAAAGTGGGGACATGGGGTAATGTCCTGAAAAGGCACCTTCTCCTTGTAATACCTATGTCATACCTTTGTCATTATACAAATTTATGTCCTCATTTGTCACAAAAACGAGCGCACACACACACACTTGTTCCATCTGAGGAACCCTAAATCATTTCATTTTTTATAGTGAGTATTTCAGATTGTGGACATCAGTCTGCCTTGATTGTCCCCTTTTCCACCCCCTAATCAAATGCGGAAGAATTGAAGTTACAAATTTCCTCCTCAAGATTCACAGCACCATCTAGTGTTTTGTCACAGTACTATTTAAAATCAGAGACGCTTTCTTTTACTATCAACAGCCCAGTTCAGAATAATCTATTGTTATACAATTATAGAAAGAAATAAAGAAAGTCATAACAAATTATAAATTTCACAAACATGTCATCAAAAAAGATGACAGTAACTCTAGCTATAATGGCAATGCTCTGCATACTTTGTGTTTAGTTATTGATAGTGAATGCAGTCAGGCTGAATAATCTACATCAAACAGAGCATTTCAGATATGCACTGCAACTGTCAGGCTGTGTGTCAAAGGTGAAGTGTGCTTAGAGTCGTTTTGCTTTTGGCTTAACGATGATATTTTTACACCTGACCTCAAATTTCTATCATGTGCCCTTACAGCTGTCCTGAGTCAGAAGCACATTGATTGCCTTCCTCAGATGCCATTAGCAGGAGGTCGGCCTGGAGAAATCTCTGTCGGGTAAGGTCAAGAAGCTAATGCAAGGGAATAAGAAAAATATCACTCATATTTATTCTGTGGCAGGACCTTAAACAGGCAGTGACAACCCTACAATGGGGCTAAACTGTGTGGAGGGCCAAAATACTACCATAGCGCTGTGAAAGACGGTAAAGGTGGCACAACCAGATTTTACATTAAATGGGAAAATTTGTTTTTCACATGGGTGATAGGTGTTGGATAGCTTTTTTGCTCCATTCAAAATAAATAAATAAAAGCTGTATTTACTCAGGTTGCCTTACTCATGTTTAGTATGAAATACACACAGAAAAACAGAAGAAATCAGGCTGAGGGCAAACACTTTTTCACAGCACTGTATATGGCATCTCTAGTGAAGAGTCAAATGAAATGCACCAGGCTATCTTCACACTCTCTGGGGACCGTCAATTTGTACGTCTGGCAGGTCAGTTTATAATTAGACCCACCATTGTTGTCCCAGTACTCAAATCCTCTGACCCGGTAGCAGATGGCGAACTGTAGCATGGCACCTGGCTGCATGATGAAAGGTGGGACAGGCAGATGAAAACGAAACATATCGGACTCTGGATCGGGCCGATCTCTGTGAACGGTGGAGATCCAGCTCGCTTTACTCTCCGCGCTGCACTTCCAGTCGGTAAACGAGTATCGTACCGTAACCTCTTTCTCATAGGCCAAGTTCAGCACTTGCACAGTTCCGATAATTCCCAGCTCAGAGCAAAACACCTGCTCCAGGCAAACTCGCTGCTGGCACAAGCGCTTGAGGAAACCAGCCTCGGCACGCATGTTGTCAGGGAAGGATGGCTGGAAGTAGGGTAGAGAGAGCTCCAGCTTCTTCTTGGAGGCCAGCTCAGAGCTTGCCAGCAGTCTTGTGATGACGTGGACCGGCACCAATGGGTCCTCGCTGGCCTTGAAGAACTTCACATCTTCCAGTTCCAACCCTAACGAATCTACGAAGCGGACCTGCACGTTCCTGCAGGTGTGCTCTTCTGTGGAGGACGAGAGGGATTTAGCCCGTCTCCTCATGATGGGTTTTGGCTCGGGCTCACACGACTGCCTATGCCGGACGACGGGCTCCTGAGGAGGACCTAGTTTTGGGCTGGGTGGCCGTATTGCCACAGGGGTCCTTTGTTGGGGTGGTTTGGGATTGTAGATGTCCCGAAGATGAAAGGTCTTGACGGGTCTAGATACTTCACTAAAGCCACTTGTGAACTGCAAGGCAGGTCCTGATCCAGGCGGATGTGATTCCATTCTCTCTGTGCTTTCTGTTAGCAAAAATTGCGAACACACAAAGTCACACTTGAAAATATGTGAGTGTATTCGCCAACTAGCATCTTTTTGCTCTTTTGCCAAAGACATTTTTACAAACTATGGACCACTAATATCTGACAACCATAAAGTGTCACTAAATTTGGAACCGTTTTATCATTTCCAACCTAACAAACCTCCTCATTTGTGAAATGATTTGCTTTGTTAACGAAAATACATTCTGACTTTTTGAAATGTTCCATGAAGTGTGCACTAGCCTATTCATTTCTTCATTACTTTATTCAGTATGTTCCACTTATACTAACGCTTAAAACATAAATGACGGACACGTCCGCTGCTGGTAGCCTTTTGGTCCGATGTATGAGACACTAACATTAATATTGACCCTGACCCATTTCTAGCCATGTTTGGGGTTTCTCTTAGATTTGACGGCCCTAGATCGTAAAGTTATTGGTTTTACTACAATCTTGGCCAGACAGGCTATTCTACTCAAGTGGAAGCCTAGCCTACTTCCCCTCCAACTCACGACAGGTGGATACAGGACATTTTCTATTGTGTTAGGCTTGAGAAATTGAGATGTTCACTCTCTGTTTCACTTAAATCCTTTTAGAAGACTTGGGATCCCTTCTTAAAGGTTGACCTTGTTCACCTCCAACTGGAAACGATCCATAACTTTCAACTATTAAAAGACTGTCTTCAGAAGGAATTTAAGTTTATTATTATTTTATTCAATTACTCATTTATTTATTTATATTTTATTCTGTTTTTCGTTCTTTGTTATTTTTATTTTTTTGTGTTTTTTTCTTCTTCAAATTTGAGTTATGTTGAGGGGTTATTTGGTTGGAAGGTTTGTAAAAGAGATGAATATGGACAGTTTCCTGTGGTTTACTGCTTTTTTTATGATGTATCCTTCTGCACTGTCATTGAAAATGCTACGAAAAATATTTGAAATAATAATAAAACATAAATGACAAAAGAAAACAAAACGCGTAACATCTTGATAGCTACATATAAATAGTAAGCATTTGATTGACAGTTCTCTTAACACGAAACTCAAGCGATACATTCAGCTTAAGGCTGTTCAGTTTTACGTCTACATCTGGCAACAGATTCTTACCTTGCTGTAAATTGTGAGGAAGAACGCCCTCGTTATGTGCAGTTAAAACGAATATACAAACAAAATATTCATTTTAAAGTGGAGAAGACCTCTTCACCCAGTGTGGTTGTAATAAAATACGCGGAGATCGAGCGCCTATGACATTTAACTACTGATCCCATGTCTCAACTACCACACCGACGATTATTATTAGACCCCCGTACATGAGATAAGACATTCTCACGTCCTGTCTGTAAACAATGCATAGCGCTCAGTCAATCTCGATGCGCGAGCATTTGTGAATAAACGCCGCGACGATCTTGACTTAAATAGCGCGTTTCAGGTTAACTGCATTCGCGTCGCTGGCTTACAGTGCACATGGGGTCTCAGACATATTACAGTATCGTGTAGGCTACACTGTGAGCCCATGACACTGTTGACTACATTTCCCACACAACAATGCGCCCTTCAGCATCCACACAGCTGGAAAACACGCCTGCGTAAATATCCTAATTTACAAGCTCCACACAATTAAGCCCATATCGATTAGTGTACTGCATGAGACAGAATCGAACAGACCGCCTAATTTGACCAATGCATCTCATTACAGACAGGCTGATCCGGTCGTCGCTGAATTATTTAGGACAGAACGGTACATATGCACCGAGGATTAAAGCGAGCAGTACGCGAGACAGTCGATTGATCGTGGGTGTAAACTTCACATGATCAAGAAAAAATGGATATGCCTTCGGATCAAAAGACTCCGTGCATGCAATAGGAGAGAATCCATCCGTTCTAGGAGATCCAGGCTGCTTTGAGGAATGCCAGAGATGGGAACGGTCTTACAGGAGCGCACTGTGCATTATAGTCAGAATAAGCTTCGTTCGTTTGATAGAACACAAACTAACCCAGTGGGACATGCACCAAGGTAAGAATAAACAACTGTAATTAAATTAAGGTCATGTTTTATTTACCTGCCAGCCAGGTCATCCATTTCTGATGAAGGAGCTTGGATAGGCTTCTTTAAAATTGGAACCAAATTTAGCTGCTTTTATTTCTGAACTGATCTTGACTAACCTGACTTTTTCACTGAAGCAAGAAAACCACAAAGGCACCTTTGCATCCACCACCGAATAATGGCATCAGCCTGTCATCTGAACCTGTGAGTACTCAACAGCAATGGTTTATGTGTACGTTATAAAAAAAAAAATGGAATAGACTAATTAAATTAAATAGATTTTGAATAGAAAGTATCATAAATTGAGCATATGATGGTAGGTGTAAGTGCTGTTTTCCTCATGTCTACAGGACTCTCAGCAAAGGTTAAGAAGGACCAGACTGGACAAAATGTTGATCATGGCGAACCCCACAGACAGGTTAGAAAAGAATTTGGCACATAGATGATTAATTGAGATAAGGGTTAACACATTTATTTATTACAGTGTTTGAGTTATGCATATTGCATTTTACTATAGCCTAATTATTATAACGAGAGAAGCAGCTACAAATTAATAAATAATAAATAAATAATGGCACACCGAGTACATGATTATTTTTGTCAATATGTGGCAACATAAAGTGTGACCAGATATTGTAAACATTTCAAAGATGTTTAAAACCTTTTCCTTTGGTTCCTTGAGGCAACACAACGCTAAGATCAAATCTCACGCAACTTCCAAAAATGGACAGAAGGAGAGGCAGCAAAGACAAAACAGCCATGGTGCAAAAGAGAGTGGTGGCAGGGGTAAAAGTTCAAGTGTAAGGCCTGTATACCCTCATCCTGTACAAGCTCAGAGAGAAGACTCGTCAGAGTGCAGACCCAAAGACGAGAGCTGTACGCTACAAAGTAAAGATGGAGAAGAGGACAGTGCCAGTGACCTCTCGGACTCTGAAAGGTATTCTGCGCTTCCCGCTCAAATCTCTCCTCCTGACCTCAACCTACGTGCAGAGGTCATAGATCCGTCTGACTTTCATGCCTCGAGACCTTCTTGTCGAAGGCACAACAAGTTCAGAGGCAGCTATCCAGATTTCTTACCGCCTCCTTTCAATTCTTGGAGTCTCCTGCAGTTAGCTGTGTACTTGAACACCGAAGGCAAGGGCATTCCTCGTCCCAAGCCCACTGGGCAGCTTGAGAGATACTTGGACCGGCTATTGCAATTGGAATGGCATCAGATCCAAACCGTACAAGAAGACAGCAGCAAAACCAACGCCCCATTACCTAAAGGTCGCAATTTGCCTCATTCGACTTCTCATCGCAGCCTCAGCTCTCCTAAATGCATCCTCCAGTGCCAGCGTGCGTTCCCTTTGGCGTTACTGTCCTCTTTTGCTAGTGCACCCACCCTTCAGCTTTCAAGCTGTACCTGCCCACATTGCCAGAATCAGTATCCCATCTTGAATGGCACATGCCGCTCTTTTGCCTACCACCACCACACAAGGTTGAGTCCACTCCTGGAGAAGAAGGGCCAGGTCTCAGGTTTGCCTAAAAGGAGCAGCAGTGAGAGCAGGGCTCATCAGCTGGAACCCAGACACCGATCTCGAGAGCACAGACTCAGCGACCCTTTGAGCGAGAGCAGCCACTTGAGGCGCATGCAGGCTATTGGTAACATTCGCAATCCGGTTGGTTCCACATACAGTGTTGACCAAGTTTCTTCTACAGCTACAACAGCCAGCAATGCCAGTATTGGTGATGTAAAAAAGAGAAGGCCAGGGCAAAGAAGTCATTCCTGTGTGGGTATGAGGGAGGTAGGCTATAGGGCACGAGGACGCAGTGAACAAAGGAAGACCTTTGATAAAACACAACAGGACCCAAAATTAGCTTGTGCTGTAAGTTCAGATGGGTTACATAGCTCAAAAGACTCTGTAACTAGTCGACTGACCCAGAGGCAAAAGCATGTTGAATTTGTCACAAAGTAACTTCAATACAGTGGCCTGGAAAATGTATGAATTTCATTGCATTAGACAAGGAAATATCAAACCAAGTGGTATATTTTCTGAGAAATTTATTGCAGTGACGTTTAGACCACTGATCCCAGTATTATTAAAGTGAATGTATGAAGAACAGTGTTGGGGAAAGTTCATTTTAAAAGTAATGCATTACAATATCGTGTTACTCCTTAAAAAAGTAACTAATTGTGTTACTTAGTTACTTTCTTATGAAAAGTAATACATTACGTTACTTTCTTATTAGTATGGTTGAATTGGATCATCGGAACATAAATGATATCTGTGTTATTTAACATATTTAATTATTGCAGGATTGCATTTCACTCTTTTATTGATTTTGCGGAATGCTGAATCTGTTTTTGTGTAAGTGAGATGAGTAAATGCATGTTCTTATTTAGTCTAGATCTACAGTAACATCATGTTCACACAGCGCTCACAACGCCTGATTTCTTTCAACATGAGGACAGGAGAGCAGTCAGTCAATACACAGGAAAACAAAGCACCTGGCCTCACTTATTTGAAAAAGTCACTCAGATATCTTCTTGTAAATTAAAAAGTAATGTGTTACTTTAATAGTTACTTGAAAAAATGAATCGGATTATGTAGCTCATGTTACTTATAACTTCTCCCCAACACTGGTCAGTTCATCAAATTAACGTGATGTTACACTAACTTTCAACAAACAGGAAGTTTCACAATACTTATCTTCATTTTCAACACATGTATTAATTGATTATTTAAAACCTAACAAACTATTATAAGATGTAAATGCCACTTGGCAGGGCTCTAGACTCATTTTTTATCACTGGTCACACTGGTGCAACTTTCTCAAATGGTTGCACCAGCGTATGATTTGGTTGCACTTTTTTTTAAATTAATTGATCTATCTATCTATCTATCTATCTATCTATCTGCATGTGAAAAATCTACGCAACGCACAAAAAACATGTAAACAACATGTAATCTACGGCTAAACAATGCACAAACAACGCATATTTGAAGTGTTGTTTACATGTTAAAATTCGCACATTTTTTATCTTCCTTGCTTTCCCTATCAGTGCGCGCGGTTCAGGTGCACATGAGCGTAAGGTGTGCGCGGCAAAAATGACGAGGAAATGATAAGGCACAGCATATGCTTTATGTTTTTGGTAATACATGTTATACATGCTAGTTGTTGTGGCTTTCATTAAGACTTATAATGAATCCATCTTTCAAGCATTCGTTTTAGTCTACGAGAGTGAAAGGTGTATAGATGTAAGCACAACAGGCCATTATCTTTTCTTGTAAAACGTGACACCAACATCGCAAAAGCAAAAGCATCCAAGTAGTGCCTTTTCCCAGATAGCACACATAGGTCTGCAAGTTGTCTGTTAAAGATTGCTTCGTCTGGAAAGCGTCTGCTGTGTTCAAACATCTGACAAGACGTCTGTAAGATGTCAGTTTTACATACATTCTAAATCATAAACATCTTAAAGACATTTTCTTTACATCTATTTGACATCTGATAGGAAATGTCCTATAGACGTATTGGATATGAGCAAACACTCATTTAATGCAGACATCAAATAGACATCTCCGTGATGAATATGTGCTATCAGGGATCTTTTGTTTTCCTGACTCGGTTCCTCCCTGTCCGCACCTGTGCTCTCGTCATCAGTTGTGTCTGAGTCTGTATGCTGGCTCGTTGGCTCATTCTTTCCACCATCATCCGTGCCCTCCACACTTTGTATTTTAAAGTAATCCCCTATCGACCTTTACATTTTTAGATGGCTTAAAGGGTTAGTTCACCCAAAAATGAAAATTAGCCCACAAATTACTCACCCTCAAGTCATCCTAGGTGTATATGACTTTCTTCTTTCAGATGAATCCAGTCGGAGTTATATTAAAAATTGTCTTTGGTCTTTCAAGCTGTTTAATGCCACTCAGCGGGTGTTGCATGCATCAGTCCAAAAGAAGTTAAATAAAAAGCGCCCATCCATAAAAAAAAAAAGTGTCTCACACGGCTCCGGGGGGTGAACAAAGGCCTTCTATAGCGAATCGACGCGTTTTTGTAAGAAAAATATCCATATTCAAAACGTAATAATCATTTAAATGTAGCTTGCGCTCACTGTTGTAAAGGGAAGCAGCTCCGGGAGGATGACGTATGAG